AGTAAATTAACTTTTTCGTTACTAAAAAAACAAACTCAGTGCCGTCGAGTCAGATCTGACTCATTGCGACTTCTCCTTGGGTTCCTGAGGTGTTATCACTATGGAAGTAGATTGCCCAATCTTTCTTCCAAGGAGTGGCTGGTGGGTTTGAACCACTACCCTTCTGGTTAGCAGTCAAATGCCTTAGGCACTACGCTACCAGAGCTCCAGGAAAAGAAGGTGTCACCCAGAGGAATCAACACGAGCCAGGTGGTGGCACAGTTGAGTAACCAGAGGCTGGTTGCGTAGCTGAACCTAAAAACTCTCGAGTAGTGCTGCATCTTGAGTAGTCAGTGTTCTCCAGAGAAGCAGGACTTACCAGATATATATATATAGGCAGAAACAGACAGACAGACACTGTTTGATTGGTTTTAAGGAACTGGTTCACATAGTCATGAGGACAGCCAAGCTCACAATCTGTAGAAAAAACCAACAGGCTAGAAACAAAGACTTGATACTACAGTCTTGAGTCTGAAAGACTGCAGGCTGGGAACCCAGGCATGATGTCTACATTATAGCCAGGAGGCAGAATGCCTTCTCCAGGAACCCTCAATTTTTGCTCATAAGGCCTTCAACTGATTGGATGAGGCTCACCCTCATTATCCAGAGTAATCTGCTTTACTTAAAGACCCAAGCAAACCAAACCCACTGCCACTGAGTCAATTCGAACTCACAGCAACCCTATAGGACAGAGCAGAACTGCCCCATAGACCTTCCAAGGCTGTAATCTTTACAGAAGCAGACTACCTCATCTTTCTCCTGCAGAGCGACTGGTGGGTTCGAACCACTGGCCCCTCAGTTAGCAGCTGAGTGCTTAACCACTGCACCACCAGGGCTCCGTACTTAAAGACAACTGACCATAAATGTTGTTGTTGTTGTTGCGTGCTGTTGAGTCGTCTCTGACTCATAGTGACCTTATGCACAAAAGAAAGAAACACTGCCTGGTCCTGTGCCAGCCTCATGATCCCCACTATACCTGAGTCCATTGCTGCAGCCACCATGTCAGTTCATCTTGTTGAGGGCCTTCCCCTCTTTCATTGACCCTCCACTTTACCCAGCATGACATCCTTCTCCAGAGAATGGTCCCTTCTGACATGAACAAAGTAGTGAGATAAAGTCTGGCCATTCTTGCTTCCAAGGAGTACTCTGGCTGCACTTCTTCCAGGCCAGATTTGTTAGTTCTTTCAGCAGCCCACAGTACTTTCAGCATTCTTCGCCAGCACCACAACTCAAAAGCATTGACTCTTCTTTGGTCTTCCTTATTCATTGTCCAGCTCTCACACACATATGAGGTGATTGAAACTACCATGGCTTGGGTTAGGCACATCTTAGTCTTCAAGGAGGTATCTTTGCTCTTTCAGCACTTGAAAGAGGTCTTTGGCAACAGATTTCCCCAATGCAATATGTCTTTTGATGTCTTGACTGCTGCTGCTTCCATTGGCGTTAATTGTAGAACCAAGTAATATAAAGTCTGACAACTTCAATCTTTTCTCCTTTCATCATGATGCTACTTATTGGTCCAGTTGTGAGGATTTCTGTTTTCTTTATATTGAGGGGTAATCCATACTACAGACTGTAGTCTTTAACCTTCTTCAGTAAGTGTTCCAAGTCATCCTAACTTTCAGCTTGCAAAGTTGTGTTGTCTGCATATCTCAGGTTGTTAATGAGCCTTCCTCCAATCTTGATGCCATTTTCTTCTCCATATAGTCCAAGTTCTTGGATTATTTGCTCAGCATACAGATTGAATAAGTATGGTGAAAAGATACAACCCTAACGCACTCACTTCCTGAATTTAAACCACACAGTATTTTCTTGTTCTGTCCAAACGACAGCCTCCTGATCTACATACAGGTTCTTTATGAGTAAATTAAGTGTTCTAGGATTCCTGTTTTTCTCAGTGTTATTCACAATTTGTTATGATCTACACAATCAAATGCCTTTGCATAGTCAATAAAACACAAGTAAACATCTTTCTGGTATTCTTTGCTTTGAGCCAAGATCCATCTG